TTCTTTCATTTTTTTTTCATCTGAATAATGGGGTTGACCACTAATGGCTATTTTGGCATCCTCTGTCTTGGCGTGCAATCTCCCTCCTCCATTGCAGGCACTAATTGTCTTGTGTAAAATGGGAACAACACTCGGATACAGTATTGTTGAGTAGCTACACACAACAAAGCATTTAGTACATTAAAAGTACTATAACAATCAAGCTTTATTTTTGCAAGTGTAGATTTTCTCCAAAGTATACATTAAATCATGGGACAATTGTAGGGTTTCAATATGGTACAGATCTTGGGGCCAGCCTCAAATGGTTTGAGAACAGAACATTCCCAGAAGATTAAATTTGAGAATTTTTGAATATTGGTCATTGAAGTCCATTACCTTGCCCTGCTTCAAAGATGGACAACCTGTGGCCCTAATGCCACCTTTACTTCTAGGCCTCACAAGTCTCAGCAGCCTGTTGAATAAATAGGAGGATTGGAAGGGAGTTTCAACAAACTTGAGGAAGAGATAACAAAAGTAGGGTGGGGATTATCCATCCATCTCCAGACTGGCATGCAGTTTTCAACAGATTATTCTTAAGTCTTTCACTCCAGCTCTAGTATGGGATGTAGGCAACCCTTTAGCAACTATACTTTCCTTGTAATTTTTCTTCAGCCTTGGGAGATACTAGGGCTTGTCTTGTGATGCAGAAATGTTCACAGCAGGATAGGGCCAAAATATTTGGCCTGTTTGTTGGGGTGGAGATGGGAAGAGGCTGGAGGCTGTTTAGGGGTAAAAATGATTTCCTCTTTATTTGGAGAAGGAGAAGATGAAAAATTTGCAAAGTGGACTTTGCAGAACATTTGGCCAGTCTCCAGGTTGTAGACTTTCATTCTTTTTTCTAGTAGAACTGGCTATCAAGTTTAATATTTCTCAAGTCTGTTTTTCCCCAGCTTCAAGCTATGTTCCATAGTAATTCCTTACCTTCTATAATTGAGTCACTGAGTAGGAGATGCCCATCCCAGTTATGTGTTGCCAATTCTTTCTCCTCCCTGCTGCCATTTTCCACTGAATGACTGAAGTGGCAAACACAACTGTTTCTGCTGAAGATCTTCTGGTGTCCCCATCTAAAAAGTCTAGAAAGTCAAAGAAAGTTTGAGTGTGTGCCATTCAGTCCTTCCAGATAAAAGATTCCTCAAAGCCTGCTTTTATTCATATTAATTGCTGCAGTTGCCAGGCATGCGTTTGACAGAGAACTGTTATGGAAATGTATTGTGTATTATGAAAATGAAGAGAAATTTTCAATAAAGCAATGAATATTTTTTTCCAAGTTGTTATGATCAGGAAAGCATTTGTGGCCTTGCAGTAAACCACATCCTTGTAACACTGCTGGAATATTGAGTAGGAAACAGCTATAGACTCTTTTTTAAAGAAAAGAAAAGAAAAGAAAAGAAAAGAAAAGAAAAGAAAAGAAAAGAAAAGAAAAGAAAAGAAAAGAAAAGAAAAGAAAAGAAAAGCTGGTATTTTTATGCAACCTTAGTTCTATGAAAGAATAAAGAAGATAACCTACATTTTAGGAGTGTATTGGCTTGTCACAAAATTCCAAGTTTGCTCATCAGTCCCCAACTTTACAAATCCTTGCTTTAATTGCCCATCATTTTTTCCAATAAAATCACAGGCTACAGAAAACCAAATGATTTCTGTTCATGTGCACCAGTTTCCCCCCTCTCAATAATTGCATTTGCGATCTTGCTGATTTCTTGAGATATTATCCAAAACAATGAATATGTGGTTTCCTCTTGAGGAAGCCACACCTTGGCATTAGGGGGTTAAAAGTCCTTGTTGAATCCTTCTTTAGATTCAAACATCTAGTATCTTCCAACCTAGTTCTTCAAGTAAGTTTAGACTATAACTCAGACCATTTTTTAACCACCTTCAAAATATCATTTGCACTGGTTACTTGATGAGATAATTAACCAGCCTCTTGACTGGCAGATGACTATAAAGACATAATGGCTTTTTGGTTCTGAGGAAGTAACTTTTAATTTTTAAGCCATATTATTATTATTATTTTCCAATTAATCATGTATCATCACTGATGTTGGCCAGTTTTCTTTTTCATGATTCAAGCTCTACCCAAGAGCTTGGGAATCACAAATGTAGCATTTTAATTATACATGAGTGCTGTTGCTTATAGTTGGACTGCTGTAACTTGTTCCAAATTTAGGCAGTCCAAATCTTTTCTATGTCCTCCTGAAACTGTAGCTAATTCCCCAATAACAATTGGTATTATCATCATGATCATCACGAGCATCACCATCATTCCCTTAACAGCGCAATACAATTCATCTGTACTTAGAAATGCAAAGGCCATTTGGAACATATATAACACCATTTCAAGGACATACAGCAGCCTTCCTCTATTCTTCAGCATGATGGGCCCCTCCAAACATGCTGGGATCACAACTTCCAGATTTGTCAGCATGACATATCTTTTGGCTGCAACATGGTTTGGGAATAGAATTTACTTCCCAATGTGCTTCACTGTAGATCCCAACTGATGCCTGGCTGGACTTCTCATATTCCTTAAATGGATACAAAAATCTATGTTATTAAGATGTTAGGATATTGGTGATGTAACCAGCCACATCTCTGCCAGATCTATTGATATGGTTTCTACATTCAGAACCCTTAATGGAAGTTAGAAATGCCATGAAACTTATGAGTCATTGTAATTAAGGTCTTTGTAACTAGAGTCATTCATTTTAATTATGAAAGAAAATTAGGTAATTGATTTATTGAATCGTGGAAAAGAAGTTTAGGAGCCTCTTGAAAAGATGTGATCTAGGGCCTCCCATCTGATGGTCATAAAATATTCTGGGGCTTATTCGTATTTAGTGACATCCACTGAGGGATCCATTTTCTTTCATTGCTGGGGTAATACTTTAGAAATCAGTTCAGCGTCTTAGGGCTGTTCTACATAGCATCATTTCTGCTCTACAATCATACCAAAATGCTTTAGGACCAGCCAAGCTTCATTCACCCTGGAACAAAGAGAATAGTTAGAGAATACTATGAGGCAATCAGGGCTCTTCTTCCAGCTGGCCAATAGCAGAGTGCAAAAAATCTTAGAGTCCTGTCCAAAGCTATGGCAAGTCCCAGAGCAATTCAAACGCCTCTTTCCTTCTATCCTCAACAATGAAATAAATTGCCAGCACCCCATCCCCTCCATAATTTTAGTACATATTTTGTGCATTTATCTGGTCTTTTGCAAAACAAATGAACAAAACAAGAGTGTTTGCAATAGGGTGAGATAGCATGGCTACCAAAGACATTGTTCCTCCTTTATTAAGAATCCTATTGAAAACTTTGAAAGGAACATCTTACATTAGCAATTTTGCAATCATATACATCCCCCGATGTCTCTGATCATGGCTCCAATTGCAGCTGATGGGAGAAGATAAATTCTAAAAAATCCCTGCACAGAGACACTAGGAACAGGACATGAGAGATTGTGTCCATGTGTATACATGTGTATGTATGAAGCGGTTCCCTCTGTCCATGACACATTCACTGGAAAGGAACTCAACCAACAATTTGGTGCTTCACAGCTGGCAAGTCTCCTACTGAAAAAGGGGGCATTGTCAATTCTCTTGGCTGTCCTACCAGGTGAAGAGTTATGAAGATATGCAAACAGTCAAAACAGCCTTGATTCCCCCCTGAATTTAAGGTGAACTCACCAGAGTGGTGTGCATTTATCATATGCAGACAAACATACAAGTGAGTTGTTGTTGTGAAGGTAAATGTGTGAAGCTGGCATACCACCTTTCTGCTTTAAGGACCAGTGAAGCTTAGGAACTAGGAGGTGAAGTGAGGCAAGAGTTTCTTCCAATGGAAAATGGATCACCCACAAGCTCTACAGAGCTTTATCACTGCAATTGAAACATTTCTTTGGTAATTTCAGATACACTGCCGCCTAGTCAGAAATAAATCAGCTCAGTATTTACCTACAAATTATGGTGTGCAGAACAAAGAGATGTGAGGCTGATTCTGGTGCAAAGAATCTGGAAATGCCATTGGATAATATTGAAATAAGAGACAATTGCTGTGTGATATGACAAAGTGGGGTGTCTGTGAGAGAGATAAGGCATTTGTCTGATGGGACTATCTGGCTCCTCATATCTAATGAATTCAAAATCCCATCCCAACTCCTCATAATTTTATGTAATCATCCCCCCTCTAAAAAAATTGTGTAGGTTCGAAAAAAGGTGAGTAAACCAGAACCTCTCTGTTCCATCCCTGTTTAATATAAATGCTAATTGATAATTGATAAATAAGAAATTTGCTGTAGCTTCAAAACTCCATAATACATGTGAATATCTCCCCATCGCCATTCTATGGTTCAATTCCCCAGCTACTATGCTGCCTGACAAGAAGTAGAAAGAAGGCACAGGAAGAAGAACATGTAGCTCATATCCCTCCTGTGTAGTTTTGAAGTCATAGTGTGTACCACTGAGATGCATTCTGACAATGCAAGCATACATTAAAAGAGAAAACCTTTACCCATTCACCATCACTCAACTAACTTTGCTACAGATATAAAGGAGGTTTTAAAGTCAGTTTAGGAATGACTGTTAGACAGTTTTCAGTGGCTTTAATTTCAATTAGCACCTTAGAATCACTAATGAATTACAGGTCAAGATCAATGTAATCCAACAGATGTGTGATCTTCTGGCCTTCTTTCAAAGTTTAAAATGAAGTGACATCAAGAAGGGGATCAGAATCATCATGCTGTAGGGGTTATAAGGGTTTTCCATATCCCTTGACCTCTTTCAAAATCCACTGGAGAAGTTTGATGCAGGAATCATGCACATCTATTTTGGTAGAGGAGGAGGAATTTAGATTAGGAAAATATTGTACAAACAGGAACACTTCCCACCAAGTTTAGAAATCCTCAAAAGATATGTTCACAGATTTTCTACATCATGACAAATTTAGCTCTAGGTGTCAGCACATGGATGGTTTTATAAGTGTGACTGATATGTAATATGCTGATAATTTTCACCCTCCATGAGTAAGGGTTGGGTCTCTTCTGAGGTTCTCTTCTTCTTTCGAGTTCCTAGCTTGATGAGTCCACTGATTGTCATTGATATTATGGCACCAATCACGCCAGCTCCAACTAACCATGGCCAGATTTGACGAGCTTGCTCCAAGTAAGGGATGAAGAAAGCCTGAAAGGGGGACGCTGTAAAAAAAGAAAAACAAGAATATGTCTTCTATTTCACATTAAGTATCCTTGCCTGGAATCAGAAGCTGATCAGAAACCTTGTGAGTTCTTGGATGGGAGCCTATCAGGAAATCCCAGGATTGTAAGCTACATTGGAAAGTCAAAAAACTTCCCAAGGACTGCTTTACTGTTGCCAAGAAAAGTACATGGACAGATGTGTCCATGAAGTCACCAAGAATCTAGCTCAACGAGGGAGCATTTTCTCTATCTATGGGACATTTGAAATTAGTATTCTGTCTCTGTCTCCCAGATGCTCTCTCTGGTCATCTTCTATTCAAGTACTAACCAGGTCTGAATCTTCTTAGCTTCTTAGCAAGTTGTTGGTTAGCTGCTGCCCCTTAACTGAGCATAGGTAAAAAGGCAGAGTATAAAATGAATGAATATTCCTCTGGTATTAATGGAAGTAATTCAAGCCAGCCATATGGCCAATCAAGTGTAATGAAAGGATAATGGGGAAGAGAGCTCGGGGAGGGTTTGAATTAATGTCAATCCAGCTTGACCAATTCATAAGATAAACTCCTCACTTTCAGAAAGCAAACTATCAATAATTTCTGAGGAGATAATAAGGTAAAACTGAGGAAATTCCTCCTGGAAGCAGCAGTATTGTCTAGTAGTGGCATTGCTACTCCTTCCCATTCCAAGGATCCAACATTTCACCTTCATAGGGAGGCATTTTCTCCTGGCCCCACCCACTCCTTTGCATTAGTGCTTTTTTTTTTTTTTTTTGGACTACAAAAGCTGACACTACTCAGTGTGTAGCCTTTGTGCATTCCTGTTTGGATGCTTTAAATGGCATATTTCAGCAGCACAGAATTGGAAGGAGCAGCTGAGGCTCTTGAATGTCTCACCTATCCATAATTCACCACCCAAAATGAATCCCATCTTCAAATTCATACTCTAGAAAGAGTAAGGGGATGAAGGAATGGTTGGGAAGGAGATTCTAATTTCCAGTGATGAATAAATTAAGTCACTTTATGCTGAATTAGAGCACTGGTCCATTTAGCCTGCTGTCGCCTGCTTTCTCTTAGTAGCAGCTGATTTTCAAGGAACACATTTATTTCTACTTAAAAGTTTTTTGTTGTTTTTTTTTAAGACAGCTCTCAAGGATTGTACAGGATCATCTACATGCAAAACCATATGATCTAGGATTAGGGAAATTTTTCATTTCATTTCCTTTTCAATATTGCATTTTTGAATCAACACTCTGTAGCGAAAATGCAAACTGAAGAGCTCTTGCTCCTTTCGAAATTGTCTTATGTTGTTCACCAACTAAAATGTGTGCGAGAGAAACACACAGAGAGAAAAGCCTATACAAAACTGTGTGTACATTCATGGAATAATGAAAAAAGGAATTACATCGGGGAAAATTGATTCAAAAACTCTACGTATCAGGCAAAATTCAAATACAAACACGTATCTGGAAAAACATGCAGCAAAATAGACAAATGAAGATGCAAAGTATTTAAAAATACTTAAATCTTAACAGATTTACAAGAAAGAAAGGAAAAAAAGACTTACATTTTCCTTTGGCAGGAGCAGAATTAGGAGGGTTCTTACTTAAAATAAGTGTATTCGGCCTGTCACAGTCTTAACATACTATTTTAGAGTATAATTTATTTTAAAAAGCCCAAACCTGCCAGAAATTGTCCATTTGTTGCAGAATTTCAAAAAAATGGGCCTGGGAAACTGCATGAACCTGAAAATTGCTATTCCTACTATAAAAGGAAGGGTGCTAGTGGTTATTTATCAGTCAAAGACTTTCCCCCTCTTATTTCCAATTCTCACCAAATCTCTCTATCTACAGACGCCTCCATCATATTCCCAGTATGCATGTCTTGTCTGAGCTCCCCTGCTGATAGTTACCTGTTCCAATAGACTGGAAAGGAAATCATAATTACTTTTTAAAAGATTGGCTGTTTCTGCTAATAATTAAGTCAATGCAGATAACAGTTGTAATAAGCCACCGCATATTGTCTGCATGGTGAGGGGAGGTGGGCAGTGTGGGGAAAAGCTTTTCCTTCTTCTTGTCTACATTTCTCTTTTCAATTACTTTTATTTTCCTTTCCTTGTGACCCTCAGGAATTGCCTAGGGCTAAAATTCTTTTTCTAATCACTCCTGTTAATTTGACATTTTAATTTTGTTTCCAGTCACCCATTATTGGTATTTAAACACATATATCTCAAGAGGACAGTTCCTGTGTGCTGTCAACTCTAATTAATGCCGTTCGGTCAACCACCATCATTGTTTTATTGGTACCACATAGAGGTGTTTCGGAGTCACCTGAGCCAGGTCCCCAAAACAGCTTTTTTGAAGAAGCTCATTTGCAGTATTCCATGAGGTTGTTGATTAAACTGCATTTTCAAAGGGCAAACACCAGCTGACTGTTCTTGACGAGAATACACAACTCTGCACAGAAGTTCATAGATTCAGCTCAAATGTGCACCTTGGTTTGGAGTTACTGAAATAAAATGTGAGCATTTTCCTCCCTTCTCTCTTCCCAGGTTCTCATCCTCTCAAACTTGCAGGTTTGGGCAAACCATAGTATGTTGGGTCATTTGAACCAAGCAAACTAGAGCCTATGGAAACCATGGTTTGGAGGCTGAACAAGACAGCAATGTATTGATAGCTTGTTCTTGAACTAATTTCTCCTGTATGGACACATAAAATTGGCAGAAATGGCACCAATGGCATGAAGAGAAATTATGAGTTGTTGGCAAACCAGAAAATCATCTCTACTGGAACGAAACTTTACTTAAAAAAACAAACAACCTGTACTTAGCTGAAGAATGGGGTGGATTAGGCTGAGGGCAACACAGGGCCTATATCAGATGGATTAGCCCCAGGCCTATTGCTAAGAATAATGCAACTCTCTTCATCCTCCTAAGACAGAATTTAGCATTGTTTCCTGAAACAGCATTGCACAGAGGATCAGTCTGGCAGAATGCCTACCCGGTGTTTGATGGGGTGGTGGGAGAGGGTGGGAGGAAAAGCGATTTAAACATCACTGTGGCTGAAACATTCATGTCACCATTGGAGAATGGTAACTGGTCTCTGGGCTCTAGGATGTATTTTCTGCCAACCATAAAACACATTGTACTAGGTTTTGCAGGAGGAACAGGAAAACGGGTTTAGAGGTAGCTCTTGGCTCGTATTTATCACCTTTGAAGAGCAAAGCAAATAAACAATACATACATATACACCTTTTGCACTCTGAAGGGAGTCAGTGAAAAAACAATGGAGGGAACTCTTAACTGTCATCATTATGAAACCAGGAGCAGGTGGTGGTGACTAAGCTTCTTCTTCCAAGAGGGGGAAGGAGGTCAAAAAAGCCAAGATGGTAGATGTGACTGTGTGGGTGGGATTTCAATTGTCCAGTTGTGGTTGCTATCTTGACGTTGACTTCTGTGGAAACCCTCCGCGCTTCTTCATACCTCCTGCTTTCCCTTTCTGGAAGAAATTCTCCCACCTGGCATGAACAGTAGCTAAGAGAAACTATATTTTACATCCACATCCACATGAATCCCTCTCTTATTCTCAAAGCGAAATAAAATATCAGTATTGGGGCCCCAAGCCAGAGACACAAGTGCAGGAGGGGTAGAGGTGAGCTTTTTGCCTGGAAAATGGGCTCAAGAAAATGTCTGATTGAGTCTGAGGGGTGGTGTTTATCTTCAGCAGTGTCAGGCAAAGAAATACTCCTACGTATTTTCCTCCTTCAACTTGACAACAGAGAATTTGCTTCCAAGATTTCTTTTAAAGGGAAGGGAATTTCCGAAAAAAAAAATCTCATGGCCAAAAGGGGATATTCTTGCACTTATGTAGTGACAAGGCCACCAAGGAAGTCATGTGGGCATCCTGCCTTTCATTGCACAATCACCTCTCCAACAGCATGCAACCTCCTTAGTTTGCATTAAATCCAAGGGAAGGTAGCAGAAGTAGATGCCTTCAACTGGGCCGTTCCAGGTTGAGACATTAGAGTAGCCAGAGGAGTCATAGAAAGATGAATGATAGGAAGCAACACCAAAAGTTGCCCTCTCCTTCGCTTTCAATAATACAGTGTGCTCCAATCCACAAAGGGAAACAAGAAAGACATTCTCAAGCCCTCCAAGAAGAAAGTAGAAGAAGAAGAAAGAGAGCCAGTTTGGTCTAGTGGTTAAGGCACCAGGTTAGAAACCAGGAGACTGA